AATTTTTCTTAATTTAGTAACGAGAACAGATCAAAATTTTCATTAAATTGGAATGATGATCGTCCTATTATATACGGTACTTTAGATATGCACAAAAATTTAAGTTATTATATTGTTGTATGTATCTTATGTACTATTTTCTATGATTTCGACCTATATCGTGCTATTTTTAAGATTTGCAAAGAAATTATTGAAGGACATTCCGAAGACACAAATGTTATGGATAAACACTGTGCATTCGATTTCTATATACAATCAGCACTAAGAATACAGAATTTATTACCATATAAATTACAATTGGATGATGATAATGTAATACATACATCTTACATATAAGAAAAAGTATCCTAATTTCTTCTTGTATATTTAAATAGACTGTAGCATCATCATCTTTTATGCCATTTGAACCAAGCGAAAAACGAGCAATAATGGATCGAAATAAAGATGCTAGTTTTAAATATAAATTATATGTAGGGTTATCATATATTTATTGAATAAAACATTTTAAATCGTTTATGTCCATTATTAGACTGCTACCAAGGAATGGCATACATCCAAGAAAAAACAAATTGACGATGAAAAAGTTGTACTTGAGTTTTCAAATTTATCTTCAACAAAAAAGCTGGTAATAATCATTGGCTGTTGAATTATTTGCTTTTTTTTCTTCAGTTTTAATTAACTTTATTTTATTTAGCATGCAACCGTTTTTACAAGTACATATCGAGGTGTTCATCATATGATCATTTATTCACCATATTGGATATTGAATAAAACAGGATTAAAATTATTACTTACGGTATGAATGCTTTCTCTTGAACATCTGCTTTAAAATAGTTCCTACTACTGTTGTCAATTTTTTGTCTTTACACCAATGTTTGGAAAAGCAATCGCCAAAATTTGAAAATATTCATTTAATGCTTGTTGATGATTCAAATATTTTTCCTTTTAGTTTTAAATCAGTCTCTCACGAGTTCAATAAAGTTTACGCTTAGTTTGATAATTTCAGAGACAACAGTCTCAGGTCTCTCTTTCGTCACAATCAATTTTTTCGCGATAATGACATGTTTTGTAAAAGGCATAGCTTTAGAGTCATGTAATCTAACAGAGTTGGCGCAGCTTACTCTAGCAAAGTACAGTCTTTGGCTCTATTGGAAGACATAAGGCTTTTAACTTTAATCCTTTCGAGTGAAATTTCAATAGTCTGTCATCTTTTTGATGAAGAAGAACGAAGATGCTAAATAACATATTACTTTGGCGGTTGCACGTAGTGACATCGCCAAGGTATTTTCACAGAAGGAAGAGAAATAAAGAAAAAACTTTTTTCCACAGTGATTTCTCTTAAACGAATTCTTTTCCTAAAATTTACTTTTTTCTTTTAAAAAGTTAGCGAGTTCTGTTTGATCTTTTAACACCACATTTTACTGATAACAATATAATAGTAGAACAAATTTAAAGATTCTTAAACACATCTTACTCACAGGCTCTTTTCTTGCCAAGAAAACTGAGAAAAACGTGTGATACGGTATGCTGGGTGAATGAAAGACTTCTTATATAAACAGTGCAAACGAACGAAAGTGTCTTTCTCTATCACTCACTATCATCGCCTACTCCTTCAAATAATAATATGGAATATCTTTCTAAAAAGGCCAAGGTCAACCTCAATCCTATGATGGCTATATCGCTCGTTACGTATATCCTGTCTATACTGAAACATTTGCATTACAACTCAGATTGTTTTTCAGTTTTCAGCTGACAGTGATGTCTGTGAGGCATGCACACATGGTCTGTCTGTCCGACAGACAACTTGGAGAGGTAATAGGGATCGTGTTAAAATGTATAAATTGTCAAGGTTTTTTATGACCATTAACTTATGAACGGAGTGAGTACAATAGGCCATTCTTTCTCTTGTGTTCCGAAATATTTTACACCAATAGCAGTACGATTTCATGGTATAAAAACTTAGTGTCGAAATTTCATATGTTTCTCTTTTTAGGTTAAAAACGAAGAAATAGAATTAAGCGAAGATGAAACATTGGTGTCGATAGCTACTGGTCAAGAAACAAAAGATGTAAACATATAGCTCTTACGAGGGAAGGATTCCAAGTTGCAAATCGTTTTTTCGATGAAACTAAGTGGATTATATGTGACTGATGGCGCTGATCCCAAATGCGAACATCGGAGTTGTCCTTAGGCTGTTATTGACTGGTTTTCTGAAAACTGGAGCTTCAGAAAACCAGGAACTGAACCCAGAAAACTTTTCTAAATCGACCCTTTTGTAGAGAACTCAAACTGTCGATGTTACATAAGTTTTAGTTTTTCAAAACAAAAATCAACAGCGTAGGAAAATTTCCCAGTAGAGTGGCTACACTGATTCTGATAGGAAAATGTTGCAGTAGGATACTTTACAAAAATCTTAGCGCCGTTCAAGATATTTTGAAAAACTAAAAGTTATGAAAGATCGACAGCTTTGTGTCCTCTACAAAATGACCGATTCAGAAAAATTTTCTGAAAAATGTTCCTGGTGTTCTGAAGGTCCAGTATTCAGAAAGACAGTCAATAAAAGCCTAAGAGCTGCTGCGATGTCCATATTTGCAATCGGCGCCATCAATTACATATAATCCCCTTCGTTCCATCGAAAAAATGATTTACAGCTTGAGCCCCTTCCCTCGCTAGTTGCATGAATATGAATTGTAGACTGTTTCAAAATAGAAGATCCAAAAATAGTTTAATTCGAAAAAGCGGCCATTCGACAGACAAAACTCTGTAGTATCTTTTCATGTTTGAACGTTTGGTCTTCCTAATAGTAAAAAGCCGAGTTATGCAGCTCTTGTCAATCTCAAGTTGTTCGAAAAAATATTAAAGGATCTGTTATTTGGAAATGGATAAAAATTAATTTTGAACCTTTTTAATATTAGGCATTAGTTTGTGTTGCAATAAGCGCAAAATCACCTAAATGTAACTTCGATATTCATATTCCAGCACACACTATACAATGTAAGGCAACAAACAATCAGATATATAACGTAAGTACGAGTGAATATTGCGATGACTATACCCAGTCATGCCGATTTATTTTCCAGTTGCTTATTACGATCAAAGAAAGTTCATTTCCCAAGACAGAAATCATTACCATATCACCTGCAACAGTTATCTTCAATAATTCAAGTTTTAAGGTAAAGTGATTCTCTTATATTAATGTGTGTTACAAGCATCTGTAACCCTCTCTCCCTTACCCTCTTCATAATAGAAGGCCATCCTCTGTTAGAAGTCTACTGTCGATTATATGAGTTGAAAGCCAAATAGAAGACCATTGGTCTTTGGTCATCGATTCTGTCCGCCAAAAGAATCGGAAAATACCCAAATATTGGGGAATTTCAAAAAAATGTCGCCAAAATGTTCTTATAATAGAGGGGATGCACTTCAAGTATGTGGAGGGGATTACCGTTGGGCTACTACCAGGCGACAAAATTTGCCCAGAATTCGATTTGCTGAACAAAATAGAAGGTCAGGTGGTTGGTCTACTGTTATGTGAAGGGGGAGGGGGGGGGGGCTAGTTGTATTATTAGCAAAAAACGCGACCTCGGCTGCTTTTTAAGAAACTCAGGAATGAATAGATCTAGCGAGTTCATTTTGTGGAAAAAATATGGGTGCCTCTTCTTTCTACTCAGAAGACTGCGGTGCATTTAGGAAGTGAAAAGCGATGAAACTGCTGCTCAACGCCAACCTGAAAGCGTAACCAGTCATTGGCTTCGATAATATAACGGTTAATGTAATGAGAACTATTTGCCTCTTGAGTTTAATCTTAGAATCACAAACAATATTCTCTTTTCATTAGTAATTTGAACACCTAGCGAAAACCTATATTAGGAGATTAGGAGGTTGATTTTTCTCATATTCAGATATCCACAAGATATAATCTACGATTATATGCATTTAGTTTGCCTTGGTCATGTACTACAATTAATAAAACGTTAGTGTAAATTAATAACAAAACAACAAATCAGGGAGGTTCAGAACATTTTGAGGCATTAGAATATAAGTTGTTTTAGACTTTAAATGTAGAGTACTTTTAAATGGAAAGCACATTCTAAGAAAACGCTTTAGACCCTCTAAGATGGTTTGATGGGACCTTTCAGAGGAAAAGGATAAGGGCACAGCGCAGGTGAAACTATTGAATTTGAATGCAATTAAAATGGTAGTTTCACCTAATGTAGCCGTTCGCTAAGTGTTCAAATTATCAATGAAAGGAGAGTTGCGTTTGTACTCCTATGAGTTTGTGGTTCCAAGGTTAACATCACACAGGTCAGAACGTAACATTAGATAGGTCCTATTAGAACCGTTATATTACCGAAGCTAATGATTCCTCACGATTCCTGATGCGTATAAGTTTATAGAGGACATGACCGGTTATAGGTTGTTTACATACATAGAATAGTGGAAGGTTCACCTCGACTTCTGTTCGATGTTCTAAACGTGGGGGCCGGAGATGCTACTATGTTGCATGATAATGAGCAGCCAGATAACATTTCATCGGTCTTCGTGTCACAGAAATTTAGTTTCTTTTTCGATTTAACTATCGGCGGTCTCCGATAAACTCTCTTTACACGATTAGTTGTGAATCTGTGGCTATGTAAGATGTACGTAAGGCAAAGATCGAGCCGAATTTAGTTGTCTATATTTTACGCACCATTCGACAGAGAATCGCGCGCTGATCACGAATATGTTTTTAAGTCGCTTCGCTTTTAACGTCTTTGGCGAATTGGCATTTAGATATCTAAAGGCTTTTATTCCATATTCTAGTTCACTTTTCAACGCTGAACAAGAATACCTGAGTTTGAACGTTCCAAGTTGTAACCAAACTTAGAAAACTCAAATTTAAAAAAAGGCGTGAAAAACCGGGTTTTTGGCCTCTTCATAGTATTTTACAATTTTCTCAGCGAGGAAACGGTTTTGAGAGGCCGGGAACACATATTCGTGATCAGCGCGCGATTCCCTCTCGAATGGTGTGTAAAATATAGGAAAAAACTAAATTCTGCTTGATCTTTGCCTTACGTGCATCTTATAGAGTAACTAAATGTGATATATATCTGCAAATTTGACAGTCTAATAGTTCTGTGTCAGGTCAGAAGTCTAACGTAGTCTTCAATTTTGCACTACTCGTTGTCTATTTTGAACATAGATGTCACTAGAAGAAGTCATCGAAAAAACAGTGATCTCATCGTTTTTCAGTCACTAGATACACCAAACTCACCTATGTACAAAAAAAGAGGCATTCATATTTTCTTACAAAAGGACTAACATCGAATTCTCTAACTAACCACCCAACCGGTGTCATCTCTTTTTCTCAATATAGCTCGATTTCGAATACAGTGAAACAAACGATATATATCGACAACATTTGTTATTGGATAATAATAGCGTATGTATATTAGTTTCTATACTGTATATGTTATGAATATAAGTTTCTTTGCACTAATAGATAAATCCATTATGGTATAATAACCTTAACGAAGGAATAGTACGTATTAAATTAAAAAAGAACAGTGATTTTGTAGAAGTTTATTTAACTGAAAAACCATCACGTACATTATTAACATTAGAAAATAATATTAATATCAATATTGAAGTCAAGAAAACGAAATTAAATGGTTATCATATAATATTTTATGATAGTCATACAATTGATGATATACCTATTTTAATAATAAATCGAAATCAATTTTCAATTAAATATTGTCTAAATTATAATGAGTAATTATACTTTAAAAATTTTATTTTCTTTGTCTATAAATTTCTGTTTTATTAGAAAAGCTCTAGAATGTCCAGCTCGAAGTTATGTTTATCGTACATCAAATTATTTAAATGAACAAGATCGTAATTTAATTATTACACATGGTAAACAATCGTATAAAATTGATAATTATACAATACCAAATTTTACCACAGATTATATCCAATTGTACGATCAAGGTCATCGTATTGTCTATTTATTTGCAAGTAAAAAATATTTAAATAATGTTTGGAAAGTAGGTTATATTTAATCTAAATTATAATGATAATATTGTAAAAATTTATGTTTAGTTATTATCATTAACAAATAAATTTAATAATTGTATTCAATTAAATATTACTCATATTGGTATATCAATTGTAAATGATTTAAAATGTCAAGAAATTGCCTATATAACTATGCGTGATACACAAGCCATTTACGATTGGTCAGAAAAAGAGGATCGCTTTAAAGCAACATCTAATCATCTTCAGGTAAAATATTAAAACTTTGTATGTTAATTATAGTTTTGCAGTTGAAAAACTTATAGATTGACAATCATTGCGATAAAACAAAATCGACAGTCATTTTCTTTCGTCAATTGCATAGTGTGCAAGGTAAGAATAAAAAAAAAAGCTCTTTTAACATTAAATGATAAACTGTTCCATTGCAATATTTTAGAGAATTCTCATCCATTTACTGAAATAAATGTTTCTCGATTGTTGTCAAAATCAAGTCCAAATGTTACTGTATTATCGTAAGAATAGCCTAAATTTTGTAATAATTATTATCAATGAAACGCCTCTCCTCTAAAAGTTCTTATTTACTGAAAATAAGATTTTCAGGTGAATACATATTTAAATAGCCTACCCTAGTAAGAAACCTACTCAAACCATACAAAGATTGCAGGAAAATCTTTTTGAGATCATGTGACCCAAAAATTCTACTTGATAAAATTTTTCTAAGATCTTAGAGAAGAAATCTTACTAACGAGGGAACCCCACGAAGTGATTAAACGCTTTTTGCTCGGAATCTAGTGGGTTATAGGTTATCGACCATGCTGATTACGAATACGACCATGTGGCTTCCGCATAGCCCTTCGAAGACCTGGTTTTCTAGAAAACGAGTTTTTCAGAAAC